GTTATGCAGCAGAATACGAAAGTTAAATTTAGCTATTTTCAACTTAGCCACAAGTCTTTCAGTCATATGATGTCTTTGACATATACAAAAACCAGCCAGCTAGATATTTTAATTAATTGGTTTAATGGGAGAGACATTCGGAGACAAAGGTCAGTCTCCCTTAATCTATGAAGGATTCACAGCGTAGATTCAAGCATAAATCAAGACAAGCAAGCTCAACTTTTCATAATATCCTCCTGCATCACTTATTCGCAATCTCTGTAGTCAGTCGCAGACTATGACCACTCATTGTTTATAGTACGGTTTTGATTGATTCCAAGTAAACACTTTATGAATGTGGCTATTCGCATTTGTGAGACAGGCAATCCAAAGTCTTATATCATGATTAAGTTCTGAAGCGGCAAATAACAATAATTTGTACTTCATGAAAAGCAAATCCATCGGTTATACAAAAAGTGTTGTTCTCAGTTTATGACGGCGGGAATAACTTTGATAATTACAAAGAAATTCACTACTTTGTAGGCAGAATACTTCGGCAACTGTGATTTCTACAATCACTCGACCATCGAGAGTCTTTGTATCTTGATTATGCAAAATACAAAAAATACGAAATCATTTTACAGAACAGAACTATTTTATATGGACATTGCCTGCACATAGATGATAAAGGATTAAGCTCTCAGCATTCATCATTCTCTGAGAGGTTTTCACGAGGAGCTGCGGTGGCTTACTGATATTTCAAGTCACTGCTGCTTATCCTACTGGACAAGTCTGGTATTAGTTCAATCGACCACAAAGAGATGAAAAACTTGGTGATCCTTGAGCACGGGATCATATCTTTGATCTTGTGTGCGACGCTGAGCATTGTCATTGTGCCACATGAGCTCCGTTTGTCTACACATAACTTTGTTATCTATATCTCGCGCTATCAGTGAACAAAGCTTATCATCCCTCCGGTGTAAAATGATATGCATTAGATCCATTTGGAAAACAAAAACGCCAGTTCAATACACCACTAGGCTATCGTGAGCTACTGTGAAAATCTGATATGTCTTCGCACCCCTACTATGTCTGATAGTCCGGCACATTTCACACTTTTTGGAAATTGATTAATACCTATAGCTCTTCTTTTCAAGACTTTTATATGACGAGCTGCATAAGAGCATTGAAACAGCGAAGATTCTAGTGTTAGAAATGCTAGTTCAGCACCGACACTGGTAAACATCGGCTTTCAAGGCCAAAATTCCACGAAATAAGTGTTCTGGATCAATTTGAAAGAGACTCAAATGAGTCAGTGCATTAAGATCACAGGAGGTCATGCCGTTAATTCTAAGCTGATTTATACTTAATTCAGTCAGATCGTATATTCCATGCCAACGTTGTGTTATAAATCTGATGTACTATTGTGAGCGAAAAAATGGGGTTTTTGGTCTCTTTTGTAAGTACAGAATAATGCACCATCACCACAAGTCGTTGCCCTAAAAGAGGGCAACTTTATCTCATAAATTGTGTATTGATCATGAACATCGATGAAATATTGGTGACCACAGAGTTTTCTAGTTTTATTGTAGACGACTATTCTGATCTGCCTAAATACGACAGGAAAGAAAAATGAACTCGAAAGTATTAGTAGAGCTATAAATGATAATCTAAAAACGGACGCTATTGAACTCACATTTTTCAGTGCTGTACTCCAGAACAGTGTTGAATGTGGAGCGAGAGCTTTGCAAACTGTCATCTACGATTGTTAAATTGCCTGCTATATATAGCGTGACATTGTAGTTTGACTTGTTTCTAACTGCTGCTATTTGACAATTTAAGGACGAGAACGATCTCAGCAAAAGTCTACCCTTGTATGACTGGCAGAGACTGGCGATCGGAGACTGCTTGTCGATTGATTTGAGAACTGTGCCGAAATAGTACCAGTTTCCCAGACAAAAAAGTTGATATCACATCTTCAACACCATTTAGGAATTTCTCGAAGAAAGAAAGAAGTTGAAACTTGATCCTTTTATAACATATTCAACTAAGCTTATGATCGTAGCCAGCTGTAAAAGTCTTTGTGGAAGGAATTACATCGGCATAGGCAAAAAAGTCGTTAGAAGGAGCACAAAAGTGATCTGAAGAAATGCTGTTTGGATCCTTGCAATTATTATGTTCACTATTCGCCAAATGAATCAAAACTGGAATCTCTATCATATCCTGCCATCCCATGGCATCGATAATTCCCTACCAATTTTTCTCATTCCACAGCTTCCTTAGGGAACCTCGAAAGCTCGCTGATAAGAAACCATGCAGGATTTTAGCCTCTAATGTTTGAGTTGCGACTGAAAGCATGAAGAGAGCTCACATCCAAGGCCTCATGTTACTACTGTCAATTTCTTTATGGCCGGTAGCCACTGTGGCCATGTACTTCCCGCACAGCATATGAAATCATTCCTCCCAAAAAAAAACGATGGCCAGTGAAGGAATGATCGCATAGTTACCTTGCCTAGGAAAGTTTTAGAAAGAATAGTTGCAGCTGCTGTTTAATATGATCGATAAGTGGTATCTACACGTTTTTCACAAAGACCATGCTTTTGTTCATCCTGAGAACTTTGGATGAGACACAGTTAATTGGGCAAACAACATTTTAAAAAAGATTCTATTCATGGACCACGTATAAACTGCATCATAAGTCGTTACATTCTGTTCATAGCACTTCATCCCCTTGTTCAAGCCCTAAATGACTATGAGAAGCGTTTCGCAGTCTTGAAAAGAAAGAAATCCTGTCAGCGCTCGTGGATCAAGATATAGACAAGACCTGTATACGAACGTTAGCCATCTTCCATCGGAACTGCAGCTGAAAAATACGGCAGCTCCATCGACCCTTCACCATACCTACAAGAAGGGGTTCGACAAGGCGACACTATCGTTAAAGCTGTCCGCCGCCGCACGCGGTGGATAACGAAGTCGATCGACTTGTACAAGAAAGGCGTACGTATCGATGGAGAATGCCTATCAAATCTTCTTTCTGAGAGTGAATCGCCATCTTTTCGAAAAGTACCTGAGAAGCGGGAAACGATGCTCAAGGATCTTAATGAAGGCAGAGAGGAGATAGGATTACGCATAAATTAAAGGATTCATGATGCGGATGTAAACAAATTGAACCGGATGGTTTTCTCATTACATGATTTATCCCGTACATGTGCACCGAACGTTCAAGGAGTATGGAAAGCAACCCGAAGAACAACATAAACTAAATGAAATTCGACTTCGTTATTTGATACGGCTTCATTGACTACCGTTCAGAGTTTTCAGTAAGTAACACTAAAACTGACGTCATGTACGAGTCAATTCAGCATGTTTAGGAACCTAGTTTTCAGGCATAGTGGGGGATTCAATCTAAGCTTTCTCAACAACAGTTCATGGACTGTAGTGGCTATTCAAGGAATTGATGTAATTTGCAAAGCGGAAGCACCTGACTATTAGTAGGGGGTGACTCGTGGGTAGTAATATTTCTTTGTCTGGATGCAATTATGCAAAAAAACATAGCAAACCGTATTAGTGTTGAAAAACTGAAATACTGTGACTTTCAAACGGGTTTGTGTGATTTCTTCAAATCAGATATGACTGAGGCATAGTTCTTGAAGAAGGATACTGTCCGAACACTCTGGATGTCTTTCTCCATATTGCATTTTATGGCTAAAATTGTTTTCCATCTAATATCTTCGATCATAAGTTGCGCTATCCCACCATTTTGTAAAGGATGCAGTGGGTTTTGAGAGAAATTGAAAAAGCAGCTCTATCACTTGGTGCTCGGCATTCTATAGTGAATAACGACTGGCACTGCAACTTCTGGAAACTCCTTTAGACGCAACTATTTATGAGATATGTTAGTTCAGATCTCAGGAGCGTATGTGGCGCAGTGATTAAGGTGCTCTGCGTCGCACAAAAGGTTGATAGTTTGCTTCAAGCGCTCATTGCTCGTCAAGCCGTTCATCCCTCCGCGGTTGGTAAACTGGCACCACACTCTACTCGGTACGGCGGAAGGACACCGCGAGCCATTTCGAAGGACCAGATATGCATGCATTCACCTCTGACGATGCTGATAATGATGCCGAATGCATGGCGCATTTCTCAGCGATTAGTGCGACTAGAGCTCCATCCTTTATGTTACTTCACGCACCATGGAACTGAAGAGACTTTAATCGCCTAAAGCTTGTCTTGCACTGTATAAGTGCTCTTTAAAGACTCATGAATGGCTCGATATACATTGTCAGATTAGACTACTCTTGAGAGAGATCTTGATGATAGGCTCGATCATCAGAGATGACAACAGCATCTGCAGCTATCATTGCTACTACTGCCAGCATCGCGTCGGCTTAGAAGAGAACTTGCATAGGCTGGAAGTAGGCGCCATGGCCGAGTGGTTGTGATGAATGGTGCGGTGCGCGTGGAGCAGAGCTCCACCCTTCTACCACCCTATCCCACACCACACTCTGTCCTGCAGGCAACAACTATGCCCTATGAAATGCCACAGCTAGGCTATCTTCGAGATTGAAGGAGAAGTCCTCAACCAGTATTCTACGATGTTCAAGAACAGAACAGAAAAAACGAAATGAATACTCGAAGGACTAGGATACCACAGTAAAAAAAGCCCTGTGAATGCGATCAGTGAAGTGTTTGAAAATGAGAAGGTTAGTGCTCAAAAAAAGGTGCTAGCATGCCATTGACACCTATGCCTCTAGTTGAGGCAATGGAAGTTCTTGAATAAATGCACTGTACCCCAATTCAGCGTTCCGAGCATTAATGAGAGCCAAATTACTGAAACAAATCCCTAAGGAAAGTAAAGCTCTTTTGACAATCTCGTGTCCGCTAAAGAAGAAGGCAAAATTTGTGGACCAATGCAGAAATTAACGTGAAGTCGGGCTCGGGAATAACTATATGTCTTTGTTGATTCATTCAATTTCACAAGTACTACTGCCATACCTTGTAATGTTGAATTATGCCCAAGAGTTTGACGTCAGGTGAGGATCGAACCCGCATTTCAACCTTTCCAGGAGCGTGTGCTAACCTACTGCACTAGCGCCGCCTTGCTTTGCCGCCACTCTTCCTTTGTTGCTACAAATCATACCACTGCAAAAAAGTGGTTAAGAGGAATGTCTGTTGGTCATTTTAGACATAATATGCACTACTTTTTTCACCCCACTATCAGCTTTTATGAGATTTCTCTAAGAATACTTTTGCGTAGTCAATAGTACAGTGTGATGTATCATGCTGAGTGATTAGAAGTGTCGAATAATTGTTATGAGTTTCAAACTTATACGATATAAAATTCTGGTTCATGCTAAGTGCAGTGATTAGACGCCTTTGATATAACACTTACAATCATCCAGCGCGTGCCCCTGACAATAATGCAAGCTTCTAGCAGAGTCGTATGAGTCTATGAAAACATCTGCCTTGACAGAATGGTAAGCGATCCAAAGTCTGCTAACATCATGACATGTTTAAACCTATTATGACGTCTGGTGGCAGCACTTATAATGTGACTGAGGAATTCAGAAGGACGAAACAGCTACTTGTCTAGAGCTGTATAGTGCTCTGATCGGACCTCATAACAGGCTCACACGACTCATAATGTTACCACATTGTCATGGTTATGAGCATGTCTATATAAACAGTCGAGCGTAGCGTACCATTGTGAGCCATTTATAGATCTAATGTTCTAGTCACCTCCTCTACAATGCTCTTTGCTGTCAAGGTTTGAGGGCACCTTCGAAGCGTTCAGAAGCACCAATCACTTTAGACTTCCATTAAAAATCGGCTCATGTGATTAACCAGCAGCATATGGCTCTTAATATTTCATCTTTCATCCCAATACCGATTGTCGATTGCGCTCGGCACTGATTAAATAACTCCGTATGTTTCTTATTCAGTCAACACAAGGTTGTAAAAAGACGATTTATTGAAGTACAATACATACCTACATGACAGATGGCGAACGTTTCAGTGGTTTTGCCTTCTTCAGAGCCGTTTTCTTCTTCTGCTGTCCACTATATATGTAGATCGGCTGCACTTAATCTTGCATGGGCGAGAAATTTAAGTATGAAATATGATATTTTGGACGAACTCTCGTCGTCTTCCAACTTAGTGGTCCTCGAAATGGCTTCACTTCCTGAAGAAGATCCCTGTCGTTGTAGAGGAAAGCATGTTTTAGTAGATTCTTATCACTTACTTCTTGTGACTGAGACTCTGGCGGTAGATTCGCACCTTTTTTCGATTTCTTCTGTACTGCTGCTAGCCAGTGTAACACGACCGCTGAAGTCCTACTGCTGCTTGCCTGCTTCACGGAATTGCAGACCTGAAATGTGTTGACTACTCAACTAATCTACACAATCACTGTGCACCTGCGATTTCATGATGATATTATCGGAGATCTTGCCAACTATACCAGCAGTTTGCATGTGATTGCACATCGTGACAATGGTACGTCTACAGTCCGGTTACTAACCATCGAAGATCTCCTCACGCGGTCGACCCATGTTACCTAGTCCTTATGAGCGTTTTAAGATCCGTCTATCGAGAAATTAATATATTATAATATCACATCGTCTCACCATTTCTTCTGTACTCGATCTTCCTTTTGAAGGTCGGCCTCAATTTTCGTGCGGCGTACATTTGCGTTGTGGCTTGTTGTCGAGGCTACGCCTTGTAAGTGACAGAGGCGGGACTTTTCGATAAGCAACCCTAAAAATATTAAGAAATGCGTGTACAGATAGGACTGATGATTAGAATAAGAGGTTGAAGC